GTTCTTTATCTTCTTTACAAAGGAAACCTTCTGCACACATAAATATAACGCTTATTTAAGTTGAGCATTTTAAAGAATTGGCGTAACAATAGCAAAAGGACTAGAAGTAAAACTGTTATTAGCCAAGGTTACTCGCATTATATTAACAGCAAATATATAGATGAAAGCCAGTCTAGTTAATGGCTCAATAGAAATCATTTGAGACATTATTTTTGATGAGCAAGGACCACCTTATCTTTCATCATCAGTATTTTCATATTTGATAAATATGAAGGCTCTACCATTAACACATTAGATGGTATAAAAGTCATACCAATAGTACCGATCTGATGTATCTGGGAAAGTAAAAGTGGCAAGTCATATTCACATTTGCAAATACCAATTTGTCTAGCCTGAGTTATAACAGTATATAAAAGTCAGGACCTTGCGTTGAAAAAAGTAAGAATAGATTTTGGGAATAAAGAATTTGCTGCTGGTCTTTCTTTTGTAGCAGTATCTAGGGTTCGCACTTTTGGAGATATTCTATTCAAACATTTCAGCTTCAAAAGACTCCAACGCATAAAAAAATGTAAAGATTGCAAGAAAGGAAGGTTGAGGAAGACTGGTTAATTTCATTGTCTTGTAAAAAATAGTTAGCATTTGTTGGTTTGTTTTTTTGTTTATGCTAATTGTTAATAAAGTATATCATTTTGGTTTATTTTAATTAATTTATTTATTTAATGAAAAACTAACTGTGATAATTATTGGTTGATAGTCATGTGATGTGAACAGAGAAACACACGTGATTGGGAATTTTTTTCATAGTGTATAGAAATATATTGTCCTTCATTTCGCTTCAAACAATAATAGTACATCTATGGCCGAAGACGTTAAACCTAAAGAATAAGCTTATCTATAATTTTGCAATACCTGCCAGTAGTATCCCAAAATCTGACACATTTTTAAACTTCTTATTGTGCAATCCCCTTTTCTGAAGCTTTTCACATGGCCAGTATGGGTTAGATACAACAAAATCTTCATGGGAGAAATGTACAATCCAGATTTCTTGAAGGCGAAGTTGCTTGGTATATTTGAAAACTTGCTCAAAATGACCATTTAATTTTGAAATTGATGCTATTGCCAAAAGTTCGAGAAGGACTTCTGGATATGAGCTATCGGGCTTTTTTATAGTCAGATCACAATAAAGATGATGATAGTTACCATTATCACAAACTTGTTCGAGATGCTACTGACCAGTAATCTCAAAACCATAGAACTTTCTTAACCAATTCGCTAGGACTTGGTACATTTTGGCATCATATGTACTCTCCCAAGGAACTTTAATAAAATATTCAGAATTTACGTATATATAGTTTGAGCTTTAGTATAAGCGGGAGGATTCTAATGCTATTGTGTCTTGATCAAAATCACGAACTGCAATCTTTAAAATATTTAAGATATCTATAGAGCCATTATTTCACAATGGAATATCTACAGGAAAATCCACAGAAATGTCTAAAACTTTGCCAATACTTCATTTTTTAGCGACAGGAGCAGAAGAAACTAACAAATCTGATTTTAGAGGGACTGATTTCTCTATTATCTCTTCTTGTAGGTTAGAAGTATCAGCTAAAGGTTTGCGACCTTTTTTTCCATTGACCTATATAAAAATGGATAAATTGTCTCCCTCAGTAATAAGTATCATCATTGGGGATAGTGTTGCTGTCTGAAACTAAAATTCTGTAGTTTAGAATTATCAAAACTAGTTTAGTTATGTGGCAAAACTTGATTAGTTAATAGCTAAAACTACCGAAACTAGTTTTGTTTAACTGAAACTAATTTTTGGTAGTTTAGGATAGCATCCTTAATTGGGGGTAATAAAAAAATAATAATTTTAGAATAATGCTACTGGAAGTAACGACTACATGTTTTAAGATAATATGCTGTGAACACAGAATATTATTCAGTATACTTTATCAAAAGGAAGGTACATAACCGAATCCTTCTCTAGAAACAGTAAACCTTTATCAAAAAGTATTGCTAAATAATCTCATAACATCTAATAGAATGAATATGCTAAAGCAATGCAATAACCGAGGGCTTATATGGGAGCGTTTCCAGTAAAATCACATTACAGATCATATGATTTACAATGCCTCATAACTTGATTTTACTGGAAACGTTCCCATATATTTTCAAACGAAAGCTTTTTGTGCTTAACATACCTACCATATCTAATAAATGCATGTTTGGGTCTATGAAATGAAAAATACATACCTTTTTATTAAGTAAGAGATTTCTAACAACTTTGAGGATCTCTTGCGAGGTATTTAGATCATCACAGAAAATATATAGCATATTGTAGAATATTGTATGCATTTCATTTCTTTCAGTAGCTCCAAATATATTAGTTGATCAGGATACAAAATGCTGAATAGACCAAATACTGCATGGAAAGAGCCAAAAGTATTTGATTTTACCAATTTCAAAAGCTTTCATTTGTTCTTTTAATATCTTAGCTTGTTTTTCAAGTTTTATAGCAGGTTCTTACTTTATACTATCTTTATGAACTTTCTTTCGGTCATGTCTGAAAAGATTTGACCATCTATTTTCTGCTTACGAAGGATCTTGAAATCGTCCTCATTAAGATTTATATTCAGGTCATATAAAAAATAATAAGGGTCTCAGTATTCCAATTTTCAACCAAAGAGAAGCAGTTTGAAGAAGTTGTAGAAGTAGACATGATTTATTAGCTGTTAGAAGTAGAAACCTTAAAATAAGAAATATATATGATGAACTTACTCTTTATGATTTATGTCAGTGTTAGGTAATTAGATAATTTTAGACAGTTTTGGACAGTTTTGGACAGATTTTGGATAGGTTTTGGACATAATTTCATATGTCCAAAACCTTGTCCAAAATATTTAAAATTAAAAAATAAGTCCAAAACCCATCTTTAATTTATGGCTTTTTATAAATAAGAAGAAATGCACTAGATTAGCAAAAGACGCGTATACTTATGTTTTGTAACAATGCAGATATCACAAATTGGTATATTACTATTTTAGTATAATTAGCATTACATTACTTAAGAGCTAATTTAGAATAGGCAAATCATAATATTTTACCCCATTCCGCATAAACCTGCAGTCAGTACATTACTAGATGATCATGTTTGCACATGCCTAAATGCATTGGTTAAATAATATATTATTATTTTATTAAGACAAAATACTACCCAGCAGAAAAAGCTAATATAATAATACATTTTTGACTTGAACACTCAAAGTCTTGCAAGCTATAGTCCTGTCTAGCCGATTTTTTCCTAACATTAACTAGTACTGCCTATAAAAATTCTTTTGAGAATATTTTAACTATGCTTTATCTTTATACCACCAGCCTTTTGCCATCAGCTTATAAATCTCTACATTATATGGTCCCAATGTATCCCTTCTGACAAACTGTTCACTAATGAGATTTTGATAATATTTAGAATTCTGTACCTATTTTAACATGACAGGCCAATCTATCCAATTTTTACCAGAAATAAAAGTATAACCTTCTTGCTGTAAAAATTCTCTAGTATGTTTAAAGGGTATCTATTGTAATCGGTATGCTAATTGATTTCGTTTCTCTTCTGCTCAAGTTCTAGTAGAATAAATGGTATGATTATATAGTATAATCATATTTCTGGTTAAATTTTATTAGTTCTCCATTAATATAATAATAATACTTATCACGAGGAATAATACCTAAATACTTTTATCTATTAGGAGTACCATCATTCCTCACCACTTCCCAAACTCATTTTGCCAAAGATTTAGATTTCTTCTTATAATTCCTGTAAGCTCGCTGAATAACTGTTGCATAGAAATTTTCAAAGTTATAATGATGGTAGTATTTAGGAATCAAGAATCCTAAAATCTCTTCATTAACCTTTCTAAACTTCTCAAAAATACATTATTAAAATAGTTATAGATTAGAAAATCTAATCCAGAATAAGCAGATCTTGCAATAAGGCCTGGAATTTTTCTTGTTTATGAGTGATCCTTAGAGAAGTCCGTCTTCTTGATGAATTTCTTCTTGATTAAGATTCACTTTCTTGTACGTTAGCATTATTCCTGCTATTTACATTAAATTGATTCTTCAAGTTATCCTGTATATTAGTGGCACAGATTTTATCATTAGAATTAGCTTGATTCTCCAGAGTTCTGAAGATATATAAAAGATAAGAGTGAGAACTGCTATTGCATAAATCTATGCAAGAATGGCCAGAAACGCTATGCATGGATTTTGTTCTGCTTACCTATTATCAACAGAATTAGACTGGTTATCATCATCATCCTCAATCATGATTGGACTTATCGCCTGATCCTGCATAGTGACTTGCTTCAATTAACCTCCCTGCTCAGCATAAAAGCCACCTTTTACTAATCCTAGCGAAGCCATAAGCTTCTCATTACCTTGTCTAGTGTCAGTTTATTTTTTCTGAATTAGATATTCTCCAGAAGCGAGTACTGCTTCTTCTCTAGTCAGCTTAAGGATTATATTACACAAAGGGTATATAAGAGATCCTAGTTCTGTTTTTGCTTACATAATATATCTCTCAAGACATTAGCAATAGAAAAGGTGTTCGCAATCTAACATAACGAACAATTGAAATCGAAATGTCAGGATTGCTTTTGGCAAATACTGCAAGGATTGAGTTTCAGAATTCTGCTGGGGATAGTTGAAATCTCTTGATTTCGAAGATAATTTGATGCAAGTACTTCGAGTTGGAAAGGCTCAAAAGTATTTGTTTAAATTTCAGAAGTGCTGGTCGAAAGTTTACTGGTTATAGTGGTGCTCGAAAGTTCACTAGCTATAGTGGTTAATTGTAGAGATAAAATAAATGCTCTTATGCATCCTCCACACCTGTCTACTTATACAGTTTTCTACTCCTCTTTGATCTGCAAGTGAAATAATAGCCCAAAATTAGTGTGAATAGGCGCACCTATTATGCAAGGGTCCAGGGATAGTTGCAAAACAAAGAAAATCCTAGATCTTCATTGAAAATCTACTACTAATTACGAATTAAGATTTCGTCTTTAATTACTCTGCATTAGTATGTGTATGATCAAACTATCAGCATAAAATAATTCTTATCAATTCGTCCATTACTACTCTGATATCCATATGCAAAGTGTTAATCAAAGCAAGATTTTTATTTACAATACATTAGATAAATTACAAATTAGTGACTTTGCTTATAATACAGTTGAAAGGCGCTGGTCTGCTTCATACATAATAGTCTATCCTATACATTGCGTCTATTCTATTCACCATCCAATAACCTACTATATTCATTGTTTTTCATCCTAACCTCCGTTTCATCAGTCATGACGCTAATAAGAATCTTGAAAGGGAAACTATGTATTCACTGGTCAAAATCAAAAAAATCGGACATGTGATAAATCATCTATCAATCATCTGTCAATCGGACATAATCATCAATGGCCAAAAATCAACCTAAATCAACCTGTCTGATTTATGGTCGATTGGAGTTAAGCCAAAATTTCAATTCCGATTGGTTCAATCAGATAATGCAAAAATCATCCGATTGAAAACTTCGTCTCAAAGGAACAATAGAAATTGTCCTTAAGAGAAGATACAAATTATTTCTAAGAAACGATAAAGATAATCGTTCTTTTTAGGATGATATATTATCGTTCAAGAAGAACGATTTAAAAAAATCATCCCAAATGGATGATAGATCTATCGTTTCAATAAGAATGATTAAAAATCATCCTTTTGGGATGATAGATCATCATTCTTATTGAACGATCAAAAAAAATATCCCTTTGAAACAATACATTATTATTCTTATTGAATGATTTAAAAAATTATTCCAAAGGGACAATAGATCATTGTTTATTAAGAACAATTGAAAAAATTATCCCTTTTGAACGATTTAAAAAATTGTCTTAAAGAAACGATAGATCTATCGTTTTAATAAGAATGATTAAAAATCATCCCAAAGGGATGATAGATCATCATTCTTATTGAACAATCAAAAAATCATCCCTTTGAGACGATACATCATCGTTCATTAAGAACAATTTAAAAAATCATCCTTTTGGGACGGTAGATTATCATTCTTATTGAACAATTTAAAAAATCGTCCCAAAGGAACGATACATCATCATTTTTATTGAACAATCAAAAAAATCATCCTAAAGAAATGATATATCATCGTTCATTAAGAACAATTTAAAAAATCATCCCAAAAGGACGATAGATAATTGTTCTTATTAAACGATTTAAAAAATCATCCTTTTGGAACAATAGATTATCATTCTTATTGAACGATCAAAAAAATCGTCCCAAAAGGACAATAGATCATTTTTCTTATTGAACAATTTAAAAAATCGTCCTTTTGGGACAATAGATTATTGTTCTTATTGAACAATCAAAAAATCGTCCCTTCAGGACGATACATTATCGTTCATTAAGAACAATTTAAAAAATCGTCTTTTTGGGACAATAGATCATCGTTCTTATTGAATAATCAAAAAAATCATTCCTTTGGGACAATACATCATCATTTATTAAGAATGATTTAAATAATCGTGCTTTTGGGATGATAGATTATCGTTCCTTTTAGAACGATTATCATTCATTAAGAATGATTCAACATCGTTCCTTTTGGAACAATGATCGTTCGATTTGAACGATAAAAAATCATTCCTATTAGAATGATTATTGTTCATTAAGAATGATTCAACATCATTTCTTTTGGAATGATTATCATTCTATAAGAATGATTCAATATCGTTTCTTTTGGAATGATGATCATTTGATTTAAATGATTTATTATTGTTCCAATCAGATAATGCAAAATCGTTCGATTGGAACAATCAAACTATCGTCCCAAAGGGACGATATACTATCATTCAAATTAACATCATCGTCTCCTAAAGGACGATACAAATCATTTAATAGAAACAATATTTCAATTGGACAGACGATTGATGGATGATTGATAGCTGATTTAGGGTTGATTTGCATTAATTCCGATTGACACAATATGAATCAATCAGAAATATCAATCAGTCATCAATCGGCTATCTAAAATTGGCCTAAAAACTACCTAAATTTGATCATCAATCAACCTAAATCAGCTTAAAATCAGCCAAGCAAATCGGAATTAAAAATAACTAATTTATATTTATTTAAATTTTATTAATTTTATAATTTTATAATTTTATTATTTTTACATAATTATTGTGATTTTTTTAAGAAAAATAAAGAATAATAAAAATCCACTTCAAAAGTCTACTTCAATTGACATATATAAGATTTATTTATAAAAAAATAAAGTAAAAATAAAGAAAAAGTTAAAAAATCCAAACAAAAGTCACCTTCGATTTACTTACAAGATGTGAAATTTCCCAAAAAATCACTAACGATTTGCTTACCTTAATTTCAAAATGTGATATTTCCTAAAATAAAAAATAAGAAAAAGAAAGAAAGATGGTAAATTTTCATCCAAAAAGTCATCAACGATTTGCTTACCTTAATTCCAAGATGAGAAATTTCCTAAAAAATATAAGAAAAAGAAAAAGAAAATAATAATTTTCACACTAACGATTTACTTACCTTAATTTCCAAATGTGAAATTTTCTAAAAAAAATGAGAAAAAAGTAAAAGAAAATGGTAAATTTTCATCCAAAAAGTCACTAACAATTTGCTTATCTTAATTCAAGATGAGAAATACCTAAAAAAATAAGAAAAAGAAAGGAAAATGGTAAATTTTCACCTAAAAAGTCACTAACGATTTGCTTACCTTAAAAAATTTCCTAAAAAATAAAGAAAAAAGGAAAATGGTAAATTTTCACCTAAAAAGTCACCAACAATTTGCTTACCTTAATTTCAAGATGAGAATTTCCTAAAAAAAATAAGAAAAAAGAAAAGGAAAATAATAATTTTCACTAAAAAATCACCAACGATTTGCTTACCTTAAGAAATTTCCAAAAAGTCACCAATGATTTGCTTACCTTAATTCCAAGATAATAATTTTTCTAAAAAAAAAAAAAAAGGAAAATCTATCTAAAAGTTACTTCTGATTTACATTTCTTATTTTTAAAAATGAGAAATTTTTTAAAAAAACAAGAAATCTAAAACAAAAAATCCGTCCAAACTTGCTTCCGATTTACTTATCTTATTTTCAAATGAGAATTTTCCTATAAAAACAAGAAAAAGAAAGGAAAACCACTCAAAAACTTGTTTCTGATTTACTTATTTTTAAAGTGAAAATTTTCCTAAAAAAAAAATAAGAAAAAATAAGGAAAATAGTAAATTTTACCTAAAGAATGATATATCACATTTTTGAAGTGAGAATTTTTCTAAAAAAAAAATGGTAAAATTCTTCAAAATAAGAAAAAAAATAAAAGAAAGAAAAAGGATTAAAAAAAGGAAAAAAATTTTTTGGATTAATCCAAAAGTTTTCTAGCTAATTGAATGATTTTTGTATTGTTAAATTGAAACATCGTTTTTATTAAATGATTTGTATCATCCCTTAAGGAATGATGATGATGTTGATTGAACAATAGTGTATAATCTCAAAGGGACGATAGTTTGATCGTTCTAATTGAACGATTTTACATTATCTGATTAAAATGATGAATCGTTTAAATCGAATGATCATCATTTCAAAAGGAACAATTTAACATCATTTAAATCGAACAATCATCATTCCAAAAGGAACAATTTTTTATCGTTCAAATCGAATGATAATCGTTCCAATAGGAACAATTTTTTATCGTTCAAATTGAACGATCATCATTCTAAAAGGAACGATTTTTTATTGTTCAAATTGAACGATTATCATTCCAAAAGGAATAATTTTTATTGTTCAAATCGAAAGATAATCGTTCCAAAAGGAATGATGTTGAATCGTTCTTAATAAATGATAATCTATCATCTCGTTAACATAATTTTTTTATCGTTTAATAGGAATGATGATGTATTGTTCCTTTGGGATAATTTTTTTGATCATTCAATAAGAAAGATAATATATCATTACAAAGGTATGATTTTTTAAATCATTCTTAATAAACGATAATGTATCGTCACTTTAGACGATTTTTTTGATCGTTCAATAATAACGATGATCTATTGTCCCAAAAGGACAATTTTTAATTGTTCTTATTAAAACAATAAATCTATCGTTCCTTTGGGACGATTTTTTAAATCGTTCTTAATGAACGATGATCTATCGTCCCTTTAAGATGATTTTTTAAATCGTTCAATAAGAATGATGGTTTATTATCCCTTTGGAACGATTTTTTAATCATTCTTAATGAATAATAATATATCGTCCCTTTGAAATAATTTTTTAA